CAGCAAAGGAATGCAAAACACCTCCTGCCTTCTTCCCCTCCAAGATTCCCCCCTCCCACCGTTTCATGACAGCCGAAAGAGAAGTAAAGAGCATAGCAACAAATAAGTCATAATTAGGGGCCGAAGATATCTTGATAGGTAGGGATGATTATCTCTTGAGGCTGACAGTGCCTTTGATAATTCTCCTGGTGGGATGGCAGACAAGGAGCAAGAAAGGGAGCCCAGTCCCTCCACTTCCAGAGACAGATCCAGGGGGAGACAGAAGAGAAAGGCCCTTGAGACCAAAGCGCCTTCCAGAGAAGAACCAGAGGCCCAGAAAGGGCAAAAGGCACCTGGAAAAAGGTTGGAGAAACGCCACCATGTGCCTGGGGGGAGGAGCAGGAGATCACCTCTCCCAGAGGACTCAGATCCTTCTGAGCAAACCCGTTTTGCATCTGGAAGCAGTGCCTTCTATCTCTGCTGGTCCATCTCACCCCTCATATCTGGTTTCCTGATAATTCCTCTGCTATTGGGGATCCAACTCCCTTAGGAGAACACGGAGGTGATGAAGGTGATCCCCTAGTCTTGGAGGAATCTCTTCCTCCACTACCTAAAAGGACAAGAGCAATGGCTGAGGCATCCAACCCAGAAGATGAGGATGAGGCTGTACCAGCGCATCTGGAAGCCATCATCTCCAAAGCTATAAGAAGGGGAATTTTAGAGGTTCTCCAAGTAACTAGGAGACCAGCTTCTGAGGGCTCAGACCATTCAGATCTAGAGAGGTCTTTTCATGATAGAGGCAAAGACTCCTTCAGAGACAGGGACTCCACTGTCCCTTCCTTACACAGTGTTGTTACCTACAGAGCATATGAGGAAGAAAAAAAGGAGTCAGATTTCTCGGAGGATGAAGATAATGGCCCCAGAGAGACCCTCCTTACAGACCTTTTTGTTGCTCAGAAATTTCAAGCATTATTTTTCAAGGCCAAGAAAACAGCAAAATTAGGACCAGGGGCTGATGTTGGAGAAATAGAGGGGGAAGGTACAGTCCCTCCTGACCAACTTTTCGATGGACCTGCAGTTAGACCAGAAATGGTTCCTGTTCCTAGGCTATTCCTGAATGTTATCCATAAGCAAATGGAAGCCCCGGGTACATCTACAATGTTGTCTGCCAGCGAGCGGCGCTTCTTTACTATGGGGCCTGAACTCACCAGTTCCTTGCAGGTACCTATGGTAGATGCATCTGTAGCTGCTATGATTTCTGCCTCCTCCAACCCTGTTGACCCAGAGGAGGTGCTGAAAGCAGAGGACAAGAGGATTGAACAATCCCTCCAACACACTCACCTGGCGGCTGCATGGGCAGGCTGCTTCGGCTGCTTCTTTTTTTATGAGGTCTTCTTTAAGGTGGCTACGCCAACTACAGGACAGGGTTCCAGCCTCTGATGTTAGGGCTCACCAAGACATTCATAAATTGGTGGCTGCTGCAGAATTCACCGCAGATGCAACTCTGAACAGTGCCAGGTTTGCCTCTAAGGCCATCACCACGTCGATTGCTGCCCGTAGAATGTTTTGGCTTAAGAATTGACAAGTTGACGGGCGTCAAAAGTGGAAAGTGGCTTCTTCACCTATAAAAGGGGAAGTCTTGGAGCCCCACCTGGTGGAAACCAGGGATAAGAAGAAATATCTCCCTTCTCTGACACGGCACTCCACTTTCAGAGCTGCTCCTTATACCCGCAGGTCCTCTTTCAGAGGACAGGTTAGTTCCGGGACTCAAGGGTCTCAGACAGCCCTACAACCGTCAGGAACATCCCCAGGACAGAGCAGCCAGAGATAGACCACAATTCTCAGGCAAGTGGCCCTTTCATGGGGGAGGAAGTCGCTTCTTCAGGCACTCCCGCTGAATGTAGCAGTAGTCCTCCCATTGGGGGCAGACTATCCCATTTTGCTACCCAATGGGAGACTACTACATCCGATGCTTGAGTTTTGAGGACAATTAGACAGGGCCTATTTCTCAAATTTCGATCTCATCCCCCAGATCTTTTGTGCCTTGTTCAGTTTCCAAGGTAGCATCTCACAGGAAATTGATGGAGCAGGCAATACAACATCTTTGGGATATCAGGGCCATCCAAACGGTCCCAATTAATCAACAAGGCAAGGGATTCTATTCCCGTCTATTTGTGGTTCCCAAGGCCTCTGGGGGGTGGAGAGCCATTCTAGATTTAAAAAGGCTCAATAAATTTTTGTTGTACAAGCGTTTCCAGATGCATTTGCTACAGACTATTTTGGCTAGCATCAGAGAGGGTGGCTTCCTCACTTCTATAGATCTAACTGAAGCTTATCTTCACATCAGAATTTCCCAATCACATAGACAGTATTTATGCTTCATTTACCAAGGTAACCATTTCCAATATAGGGCTATGCCCTTTGGACTTTCCTCTGCGCCCAGGGTGTTCACTAAAATCTTAGCAACCTTGGCTGCTCACTTGAGGACCATTCCTGTTCGAGTCCAATGTTACTTGGATGATATTTTGATCCAATCTTCTTCTAAAGACTGGGCCCTAAGGGATCTACAGACAACCATTACTCTGTTACAAGACCACGGTTTTTCTATTAACAAGAAGAAAAGCCATTTTTCACCTACCACAAGTTTATTACATTTGGGGGCTAGGATTGACACATTATCTTGCAAAGTGTTTCTCTCACAGGAGAGGATAGACAGTTTACAATTAATGACATTGGAGGTAGTGAAGGCTTGCTCTTCCCCCTTGGCTTTTCTTTCCCAACTATTAGGGGAAATGATTTCTGCCATCTCTATCATGCCTTGGGCCAGGCTTCATTCCAGGAAGCTACAATGGTTCCTCTTGCCACATCAAAAGGCGGGCAGAAGTCATTCGGCCATCAGGGTCTCTGTCCCTGTGTCAGTCAAAAGGTCGTCTCCGGCCTTGCATGAAGGACAATTGTTCAAGGAACCTTTCTGTAGGGTTATCACCACAGATGCCAGTCTTTCCGGCTAGGGAGCCCATCTAGGTGCACAATTGGCACAGGGCCAGTGGTCCTCCTTAGAGAAAGGGAAGAGTATTAATTGGTTGGAATTGAGGGCTGTACGGTGGGCTCTCAAACAATTTAAGAACAGCATACATCGCTCTCATGTTCTTATTTTGACAGACAATACAACCACCAAGGCACACATTAACAGACAGGGGGGTACAAGATATCTAGCCTTAATGTTAGAGGCTGAGTGTCTGGGGCATTGGGCTGAAAAGAATCTCCTGTCAATCAGGGCAGAATACATCTCCAGGGGGGATTATGTGCAGGCTGATTGGCTAAGCAGAGCTAAAATTGACCCCGCAGAGTGGAATATTCCCCCTCTTTTATTTCAGGAGCTGGTTCGAAAGTTCGGACTTCCAGTGGTGGACCTGTTCGCCTTTCCGTCCAATGCCCAACTTCCCAGGTTCTTCACCAGGTTCACAAGCCAAGGAGCAGAAGGGACCAACGGCCTCAGGAGCAGTTGGCCTCAGGGCCTCCTCTATGCCTTCCCCCCCTCTTCCGTTGTTGCCAGCGGTAATCTGGAAAATTTTGGAGGAGGCGGCAGAGGTCTTGCTGTTGGCTCCTTACTTGCCCAGACGCCCATGGTTCATGGATCTGGTGAACCTCTCATGCTCCCGCCCTTGGAGGATCCCTCCTCTCAAAGTCACTCTCCACCAAGGAGAGATAACACACCCAGATCCTCAGTGGTTCCATCTGACCGCATGGCAGTTGAGCGGAGCGCACTGAGGAGGCAGAAGATTTCAGAGCGGGCCATCCAGACCATTCTAGCGGCCAGAAGACCCTCCATTAACAGGATCTATCAAGCCACTTGGAAAGCATTCTGCCAGCAGTGTCTCAAAATCAAGATTTCCCCTTCTTCGGCCTCAGTGGTCAACGTTCTGGATTTTTTGCAAGAGGGTCTGGACAAAGGCCTCTCAGCTAATACCTTGCGTAGACAGGTAACAGCTCTTTCTTCTGTTTTGTTCTTGCATAGGAAGGGTTCCCTGTCCCAAAATCAGACCCATTCACAAGTTTCTAAAAAGGGCCTCTAACATAAGACCACCAATGGTTCATAGGTTCCCTACTTGGGAGCTTCCTAAAGTCCTGAAGGCATTAATGTCACAGCCTTTTGAACCACTTAAATCTATAAATTTGTACCACCTATCTCTCAAAGTGGCATTCCTTGTAGCCATCACCTTGGCTAGGAGGATTTCAGAGTTGGTCGCTCTTTCTGTAAGGGAGGACTTTTGTGTCTTCCATACAGACAGAGTGGTGTTACGTTTAGATCCATCTTTTATCCCTAAAGTTAACACCAGGTTCCATAGGGATCAGGAACTTGTTCTTCCAAATTTTTGTCCCAAACCTTCCCATGCCCTTGAGCGAGCATGGCATACTCTGGATGTATGTCGGGCTTTAAGGACTTACATCCAGACGACACGACCTTTCCGCAAGTCAGAGGCACTGTTTGTGTAATTCCAACCCAGTTCATTAGGGTTAAAGGTGTCGCCAACAACAGTGGGCAGGTGGATTCAGGCCTGCAAAGCTAAGGCTCATCACAACTAGGCTCTTCCAGTGCCTTGAGGAGTGATGGCTCATTCAACTAGGAGCACAGCAATGACGGCGTCATGGGCTACCCAAGCCTCCATTGAGGAGATCTGCAGAGCTGCCACATGGTCTTCGCTGTCTCCCTTCATTCGCCATTACCGTCTCGATGCCTTTGTGGCGGCTGATGCCGCTTTTGGCAGAAGGGTTCTACAAAGTGTGCATGAACACTGATGTAAGTAGGACCAGACTCTTGCCCTCCCTGGAACTGGCCAGCTTTGGGATGCCCCAACCTGTCTGGACTCAAGTAACCACAGATAGGAAAATGAACATTGGATTACCTGAATGTTCCTTTTCTTCTGTGGTGTAGTGAGTCCAGCCCCACCCTGGTTCGTCTGGTCTGGGGTGGGCTGGGGGGAGCAATAATATGTGTTCTTTTTATCTTGCAACTACAGTACCACGTCTGGTCTGCCAAGTGCTTCGTCAAAAGCTGGGGTGTGGCCACAGCATAGGGCAGAGCTTGAATTTTGGAGCAGACTCAGTCCAACAGAGCAGGAGCTGATATTACCCAACCTATCTGGACTCACTACACCACAGAAGAAAAGGAACATTCAGGTAATCCAATGTTCGTTTCCCATTTGTGTACACCAGACTGACCTGAGAGTACACTACTAAATGTGGGAGACAAATGATCAATTAGCACTGCAACATTAAAATGAGGGATAATAGTGTATAGCCTACATAAGCAAAATCCCACATGTAAATTTCCCTCAAAATGTGTGAAAAATATGCCAAAAATGTTCAGACCTACGGCTTTTAAGGACATTACCAGAAGGTCTTTTGCAGCATCTGGAAACTTGAGCTACTGCTCATATATTACCAGGTTTTGCATTTGTATTATATTTGAAGCAGATACAGTAATCCTCGAATTACAAAAGTTCATTTAGTGCTGAAAAAAGTGACTAATGACCGTTTTTCACACTTACGACCGTTGCAGCATCCCCATGGTCATGTCATCAAAATTTGGATGCTTGGCAACTGGTTCATATATTTATGACAGTTGCAGTGTTCTGGGGTCATACGATCCCCTTTTGCAACCTTCTGACAAGCAAAGTCAATGGGGAAGCCAGATTCATGTAATAACCATGTTGCTAACTGTGTGTGTGTGTGTGTGTGTGTGTGTGTGCGTATGCGTATTCTAAAAATAAGAGTTCCAGGTATACTTGTAAAAGAAGAAACAGACATACTGCAATCTCCGGAACTCAAAATTACATTTATTGTACTTACTAAGCTTTCGTCAGCCTCTGCTGACATCGTCAGAGTATTAAGCTACCATTACAGAGATCTTTGCCTTTATATATCATTAATCAATTTAGCCCTCGCACGCCTCCCATCTGTTATTAGCTCTGTTGTTTTTGCTTCCGTCATGTTGGTCAACTGAGGCTTATCTCTTGTTTTTTCCTCCCTTGTCTGACATTTCCTCCCTTGTAGCTGGCAGTTTAACATCACCTCCTAGAGATAAGCATTCCAGGCTGGGTCAGACAAGGGAGATCCAAACATAAGAGAAAGGGAATCATCCTACAGACCCTTAGCACCCCTTTAGAAGTATGAATGAATCAGCAGGAGAATCCTCTGAGAAGTTTGGCAGGGAAAGGAGGGAGAGAGGGAAGAGTGTCTTTGGGATTTGTCAGGAGAAATCCAGGAGGTGGATTTCCATCCTATTTCAGTCCTTCAAGGAGATGAAGGTGGGGAATGTATTTAAGGGGTTGCTAAGGGTCTGTAGGATAATTCCCTTTCTCTTATGTTTGGATTGGAAGGTTTGCTTCTGCTCGAAGGGCAAAATGGATAGATGGTTTCCTTTTTAAAACTACCTGGGGGGGTGGGGAGGAAGCTGCCTGGCCAGTCTGTATTCTTAGGGAACTGACGGAGGGAATGAGAATAAAGAAAACTTAAAGAGGGGGAAAAGGTCCATGGCGGGGTTTCGGGCAGCTAGAGCAAGAGGAGAGCGCTCGACTGTACAGGTGAATGAGCCAAGACAGGCCGCTTGAAGAATGCGGGCGGGAGGGACAGACTCCGATGAGACCGTGACCCGAAGCTCTGGGGTGGGAAGCAAAGCGAGGCGGGGGGGGCGGGAGAGAAACGATGGCATCACCCTCCCGCTGCTGCTTCCACCCACCAAAACCCGAATGACTCACCGACTTGCAGGATGTTGTCAACGCAGCTGCCGTCAAGCAAAGCGATGCCCCTGCGGGAGGGCAGGTGGTTTTCAGCAGCAGCGGGGTCTGTCCCCCCACTTCCACCACTGTTGGAGACAGTGCTGGCGAGAGAGGCGCCACCGCCGGTGGGAAATGTGGAAGCTACAGAGGCGGCTCCCCCACCCGAGGAAGCGGCTGAAACGCTGCCAGTGGAGGAATCCTCGGCAGCAGCACCAGTGTTGAAGGAAGAATACATGCAGATCTTTCTCGCTGCAGGGGAAGGACCAGTACACGATGCAGTGCTGCACGGGCTCCGGGATGCCCTTGAACCGTTCCTCCACCCGCTGGAAGGGCCACTTCTCCGCTACTCGCCACGATGTCCAGCAAGGACTCTGGCTCTGTGTCTTGCCCAATGGCAGCACTCCAAACGCGACATAAGCCGCGGCGAGGGCAGAAGGGATTGCGACGGCAGAGGAGAAAGCAGCAGCGGCGGCCGACGAAGGTCCTGCGATGCAAAGTGCCCCGGCGCTGCCGCCTGCCTGCTGACCCAGCCTGCAGCCACCACCATACGTGGGTCTGCAGCAAAGGCGCTTGGCGGGGGTAGGGAGCTGTCTGCGCTCCGCCATGATCGGCCATTACAAGCGGCTGGTGGTGAGGCGTGGCTGCCCATGGGGCACTGTAGGTGAAGGTGCGCGTGGGGGGGAAACTAAGTCACCTCTGAAAAGACTGCCTGGTCGTTTTTTGGGGGGTCAAAAAACAATAAGGCCCAGCCTTATTTTCTGAGAAACACGGTAGATATATATATTTTAAGCGTTTGCAAAGGCAGACTCTCAATCTCCTTGTGGGAGATAGTGAGAGACAAGTTTCCAGTGATACAATAGAGATTTTTATACAGTTTCAACAGCCTAACATCTGTTACTCTCTGTTATCACATTCTACATTCTCATTGGTCAAGATCAGAGGTGGGGTATGAGTCTGTTTCCAGGAACGTCCGTCCTACATGGTTTTCCCCTTTAATTCCAGTAATTTATATAATACTTGGCATACCCCACATCCTTTGACATTGTTTATTTCTAACTTAAAACTAAATATTGTGACCCTACAAAAAGCCCCTATGACCTGCCAGCAATTCTTATGTGCCCTGCAAAATACGTTCTTGCAACATTGAGAACAAACATGTTTTCGTGAAAAATAGAGACTATTACTTAATATCCTATCTTAGTTCATTCTAAGGCTAAATATGGAGTCTATATATTTTATCTTTACAGGAATAAATATAGCAAACTATATCATATATGACAACTCCCCCCTTCTATATTTCACCATTTTATTCCTGTAAGCTATCACTTAACTGCCTTAACATAAGCCTTACTTCTTGTCTGCTTAGCTTCTGCCCTTCTATCTTCTTAGTCTTTGGCTTATTTCAATAGCAATATTTACAACAATTATTACATAAAAGTATACATTGAATACAAATACAAGATATAATAATATAATATATAAAATAATATAATAACAATAATCACAATACAAATGAATAAACCTTTCAACCACATGAAATTTGGTAACCAAGAAGTTAATCCTTCCCATATCCTCTGAAATGCTTTAGAATCTTCAACATGTGTTAAATGTGTAGTGATATTATGTAAAGCTTTTATTTTTGATTCTGTAAATTGTGATTTATCTGTAATATTAAAGCAACAAAGTCCATCAAATTCCTCACACCCTTGTCCCATATGTAATAATATATAATCTATAGCAACTAGGTTTTGTAATACAGATTTCCAAATTTCACCCATTTCATCAGCCATAGCAGCAATAGCCGATGATGTTTCTTTAATACTATGTGCCAGGGCACACACTAGATGTCCTAACTGAATATTATCATAATAAGTAGCTCCCCAAGAAAATATACCTAAAAGCCCTGTTTCTACTTTAGATAATATTACCACTTCATCATTACAGTCTGCAGAATATGTATCATTAAGGGCAGATCTTTATCCTCTATAGATTTTTTCCTGTGAATTATGATGTTCAGATACTCCTCACTTAGTTACAGGTGAAGGTATGTATAGATTATCACATGGGGTTCTTTAGGTTTAGGATTAAGTTCTTATTTTCTTGCACATGATCGTGGGCATGTTCATGGGCATGTTCATGTGTCTCTCCCTTACCTGCTGTTGTATCATCTAATATTGGTTCTTTTAAAAATCTATCATGTGATGACCCAGGGTGTGACACAAAAATAACACAGTCACAAAAGTAGAATAAATTCCCTTTAATGCCTCCAACATCCAATTATCCTCAGCTTGATATCAAACTCTTCCAAAAACAGTCTACGAAGAGAGTAAATGCAGTCCGAACCAAAAGTCAAGATCATTAGAAATGAAACCCAACACAAACCACACTGGAGTCATTAACACGGTAGACCAGGATGATAAATTGCAGACTTCCACAAGACAATGCAGCAACCACAGTTGGGAAGATGCCAAAACCCAGATAAGCCTCGACCAAGATAAAGCACTCTTTGCTTCCAGCAAAGAGCTATTTAAAATGCCTCACTTATATCCTGTTCTCCCAGCTGCAACTAATGAAAGGGATCAGGGCCTTTTCCTCTCCCTTCTCCGTTCCTCCCTGCGTGCCCTAGGATGAAGAAGGGATGGCCCTGGGTCTTCCTCTGAATGCCCAGCCAGACTGTGCTCTTCCCCCATTTCTTCCACAGCCACCGGAGCCACACTCCCACTCCCTGTCAGCTCCTCAATCTCCCCCTCAGAGTCAGACTCCAACAAGGGCATGACAATCATGATATATACTAGAATTAATCATCTCATAGTACAATTCTGCTTTGATTAATATTCTTAGTTTGTGCTACTGCCATAACTGGTTATGGGAGTCTTGGGAGGGGCGCCGCTTCCAACCCTGCCCCCCTTGGGGCTGGTAGCGGACGGGGAAATGCGCCCTCACCCACTTCCTGCAGGGCCTGCTTACGAAGCACCCCTCTTATGCACCCACCGCTGGAGTTGGCAGCATCAGAACCCTCCCTGGCTCTTCCCTGAAGTGCCCTGTACCAGCTGAATCCCCTGCCCTGAATGCTGCTGCCGCATCCCACCTTGCTTGGGATGCTTGCAGCGGCACTTCAGACAGGACAGTGGCAGCAGTGGGGGGTGGGCTAGCGAGGCTTCCCAGAAGTCTCCCTGGCTCTTCCCTGAAGTGCCTCGCACCAGCTGAATCCCCTGTATTGAATGCCACCACCACTGCTCCCCACCTTGCTCGGGACATCATTCAGGGACAGGAGTTTGCCCAAGCTACCTGCAAAATCATCTCTGTCTTAAGGAGCACTCACGGAGAGAAGCAGCCGGAGTCACTTTTTTTTTTTTTTTAAACAAGTTTTATTAATTTTTAAAACACACAAATCATCAT